CTCTCTCTCTCTCTCTCTCTCTCTCTCTCTCTCGTTGAGGGCCACAGCCAAGTCCGGATGACGCTTGGCATTTTTGCCAGAAGTAGTGGTTGAGAGGTGACGCTAGCGAGCCATTAAGATGATGACTTTTGAGTTCTGGCGGGAGTTCCCATTGAGTTCTGCTTGAGCTCTCCTGGGGATTCCCAGAGAGTTCCCATTGGTTGGGGAAGTGCCAGAGGAAGGATATGTCCCGTTGGTGGTTCCTGGAGGAGCCGCGTGGGTTTTTGGGAGAGTTCCCGGGGGAACTGACCCTGACTCTGACCCTAACCCTAACCCTCACCCTCCCGGAGAGCATGTGTGGAATGTGCTGGTGTTCAGAAATAAAGTTTGTTCCTGCTTCAGTGGCTCCTGATTTGTGCCCAGCCAGATTGCAGTGCGCGCTCTCTCTCTCTTTCTCCCTCCCTCTCTCTCTCTCTCTCTCTTTTGGTGCTGGGGATTGAACCCAGGGGTACTTAATCACTGAGCCACATTCCCAGCCCTTTTTATTTTTTTTTTTATATTTTACTTAGAGATCATGTCTTCCCAAGTTGCTTAGGTCCTTGCTAAATTGATGAGACTGGCTTTGAACTTGAAATCCTCCTGCCTCAGCCTCTCTGGCTGCTAGGATTATAGGCATGCACCACGCCCTGGATGCATGATGGTTTCCTCACTTGACTCTATTATTTCTCTCTCCAGTCCTGCATTTTCTGAAATCTTCCTACCATCAAGCTAGTCCTTGTATGAATCTCAATGTCTTTTTCTCTCTTTACCCTGTGGGTTCTATGTAAATCAGGGGTATCTATTTCAATTTATTTCCTATTTTAGCTAAAAAGTTTCTTCAACATTCAGATGTAAAAGTCTGGAGGTTAGTCTACCCAGACAACACAGAGGATGTGAGTGAGCTGTGTTGTTTAATCTTACAAAGCAGCGCAAGAAGATCTTATCTCTGACCACCTAAAACATAGTAACATTCTTTCATCAGTTTCTTAAGATCTTGAACCATTTCCTCTGAACTAGTCAACTCTGGGTCTATGGGTAAAACTGAGTTTCTGATCTCTCTTGGTCACATCATGGTATAGCCCTGATGGCATTACCAT